TGCAACTTGAATTTCAGGTGCCACAATCCCAGGATTCAGATCATCCAGCATCGGATTTAAATGATCTCGAATAATACGAGGCCTGATAGCAGGTTCAGCATTGTTTAATGCCGCGGTATTCTGATTTTCGTCATCTTGACCAATGCCTTGGTTTCCAATCTGATACATATTTCCTTGAGCACGTCTTCTTCTTCTAAAGAGTCTTTCAATCTCAGGTTCTATTGGTTCCAAAGGCTCTTCAGAATTTCTTCTAGGCATACACTAAATAAACCTGAAAAATAAAACAAAAATATCAAGTAAATTATACAAAAAATAAAAATGAAAAAACAAAATAAAATGCTCTGGCAAAACTAAATAACTTCAGGCTGCCAATCCCCGGCAACGGCGCCAAAAACTTGTTCGCGTGTTGTGAGTACTATAAAATATACGCAAATAATGTGCAAGTATACACAATCGCTCAAGTAATATAATGATGAGTGAGTATCGTCTCCACAGGGATTGGGTGAAATCACAAAAGTCTAACCAAAGCAATGCAATATTCTATCTAAGTATAGTTAGTCTTGGTATATACAAATGTCACGGCAATGGATATGTGTATGTTGGTGGATGCGGATTGATGGTGTGATGGATGGTGTAGCAAATGGAAATGCAGTGGTAATGATGGATGTTTAATGTTCAGTATGGTGAAATGTCAAGGCAATGAAAAATGGTAAAAACAGTAAATAAAAAGATAAATAAAATAAGAAGAAAAATAATCCTCACGTGATAAGCTTCCAATGAAATGAATGGTAAGGATTGGTCTAAGGTTGCTAAACTTATTTCTCAAGTATATTTAAGCTATCTTGTCTTTACTTACTCGACAGGGCTTTCCTAAGGTGTTCAAAAGAACCTAACAGAATAGGATACCAAGGCATCTGCTCTCACTCAACGATGTTGGACAGCCTACCCTATTGATAAAGATACCCTTTTTAGTCGTTGAAATCCTATCCTAGTCTCTTCCGAGATCTAAGGGATTAAGTTATAATATTCCTAGGCCGGTTCAAAGCCCTTGAAAATACCATAACACATTGCTTATGAGGATCTTATCTTGCGTTTCTTCCGAATACTTACAAGTATTTTTAGCTTAGGATTCTTCCGAATACCTAACCTTCATCTAAGAGATGGACATTTCCATGCCTCTTACAAGCCTAGATGGTGAAGCATTCATAAGCAAAGCAAATAAAGAACCCAAAATAAACTTAAATATACCCTAAAAAATAAAGTTTAAACAATCGTTCAACCAACCACCACCAAATAAGTTAGTTCATGGTGGGGTTCGAAATATCCAAACACAAAGTCATGAAAATATTCGTTCCAACAACCCACAAATTAATAGAAAAATAGCAGCAAAAGGGAAGTGAGAAGAAGCCTTCGACGCGTCACCGGAGGTCTCCTCTCGGCCACCACGAACCACCTAGCTCGCTAGCTCCTTCCGGTGCCTAGCTTACCACTCCTTGGAGCTTTATCGATGGAGGAATATCCCAAGGAAGAAGAAATAAAAATGTGATTTTTTATGCTCTATGCGTGTGCTCTCTGTCCTCTTTTCTTCTCTCCCATGAGGTGTCATATATAATAAAAATATCTAGGGGTAATGATGAGGTTGTTGGGTGCAAAATACCCCTCATACCCCTAGAATCACATGTTGTGCATGAACCTTATCCTCCAAGTGACAGTGGTCCTTTGGCAGCTCTGGCAGGCGGTTACAGCAGTCCTTCACGTGCAGAGACAGCTGTCCAGTGCCAGCTGTCCTTATACAGAAATATCTTTTTGTCTTTTTCTGCACCAGAAATGCCAAGGCATTTCAATCTGCTTTAGCAACGTGTGATGCCGCGGCAGTACTTCCCAAAGAATCCTTTTTCTTGCTATTCCCTGCACACCATAGACAAACTGCACATTTCCCTCAAACAGCACCATTAAGAAATAAAATAGCACAACCACCACAAATGCAACTATATGCAACTACATGATCCTAAAATGACTAAAATAAGCTTTTAAACAAACAATAACTTAAGTGAAAAAGGCTTTAAAAGTAGCCTTTTTAGGAAGTTAACACTAAGAACTAATATTAAGGAGCTAAGAATAATGATTCAATGATTGCAGACAAGTGTGGTCGAGACAAAGAAAATATATAGGTAGATAAAACAAAACAAGTATTGGATTAAATATAATGCAAACAACCTCACATATTTAGACGTGTCACAGAGCACTGATGCTAAACTATTATCTCGGCAACAATTATTTTAAGCCCAGAATGAATTATTATGACTCACTAAACTGCCCGACAGGATTACTAGGTATTCTTAGACGGTTGCTATGGTAATACCTCTCGACGTTAGCTATAGACGTTGTCTTAACCTACTCTAGCCTTTATCACTTTTAGTCGTTTGAAACTCACTCCTTATCTCTAAGGTAGACAAGTTAGAACTTCACCATCCCAGATTCATTCCTTTGCTCACGTTGATCTCTCTTAATTCTCTCGAATTCAAGAATCACGTTCTAGACAAAAGGCTATCTCTCGATGCTCTTACAATGCCCAGACATCTTTTACCGAAACCCCAGGCGATCTCTCGATGCTCTTACAGTGTTAAGGCAAAATATTTAAACTATGAGCAAAACAATCATAATCAAACATAATTCATCATTCATAAATATAAAAATATTGTTCAGGCAAACAAAGTTTAACACCAAGTAAAGCATTCATGGTGTTATCAAAGATCATCCAAGATTAAACTGTTTAATACAACCCCAAATAGAATTAGAGTTTAGAAACAAAGGAAGAACGACTCCCAAAACTGGGGTTGTCATAACAATCCTGATTAGCACCACGTCTGCCTTGGTGATCACCCTCTCTCGAGGCCTGATCACCGCTCTGCTATCGTCTGGCTATGGAGGACGCCAAGAAAGACTGGGGGTAGATGGAGGGAAAGTTCTTCTTTCTTCTTCCTTGCCTCCTTTTTACGGCTACGACTGGTAATTATAAAGAGAATCTCCTAGGGCTTTGTATGCTTTTGGAGTTTCCTTAATTAGTCGTTATTAATTTCCCAAACTTAAAAAGGAAAGGCGACTGTCATAATAATCAAGGCTTGTTTGCACGTGAAGTAGGTCATCCAGCTGGCATGTGACATAAGCGGTTTTGCCACATGTGCTTCAGACTTCTTCAGATAAATCTTGCCTCGGTGAGATAAATATGCTCCTCACGTTCTTTTATGCTCCATTGGCCTTTGCAACTTTTCATTGTCACGACTGAAATGTTCTTCCTCTGTAGAGTTCCTGCACAAACACAACTCAAACAACCCCTTCTCCTCAGCAGCATCAGTTAAGCCAAATAAATCTTGTCTAGGCAAAACTTATCCACCACAAGAAAATATAACCTATATGCAACTAAATGCAACTAAAAATGCAATGCATACTTTGTTTAGACGAGCAATAACTTAAGTGAAAAGACTATAAATTAAGTCTTTTTACGGAGTTATAAATTTCCATCATTTCTCTAGTTCATCCTCTCTCTCTTAGATAGAGAAGTTCTCAACCCTCTCTGTCAACCACCGTACGCCGACACCGACACCCGTCGTCGGCCACCACTTACGATGGCCGAAAATTACCAAAATACATCAAAATGACCCCCTGCCTATCCTAAAGCCAAATCTTGAGATATTTATCCCTACAAAGCTATCAATCGAGGTAGATCTAAGGATTTACCTTCGATGTTTCAACTTCTCCGGCGACGTTTGGGAGCTCCGTCGACTGTAAGGTACTTTTCACTCTCTCTTCTCACTATTTTTTATATGGTTTGGTTGCTGCTTTTGGCTTGCTTGATCGTTGTTCTTTTTCTCTTGCAGGTTTGCCCTATTTATAGGGTTCTTTGGTGCATCCTTTGGTCTGGTTAAAAGGGTAAACCCCGGTGAGTCACCGGAGATACGGTGGTGACTCACCCTAGGGGCAGTGAGTTTTGAAGTGGAGAGGCTTAGTGCATTTAATGTACTCAGATTGCTTCGATCTGGAGAGGATGTGGCAGTGTCGTGGAAAATGCTGGTTGGAGCGTTTTGCAGCGGAGATATCATACCACTATGGAGGTGGCCGGAATAGCCCTAGGGTTATAATGAGTACCATAGGGTTTCGGCTGGTTGCACTTGTGACAGTTGGATCTGCTTTTGGATCGGACGGTTGGGATCTGTGCGGTGCTGGAGATGAGATTAAATGCTAGCAATATTTGGGTTTGCTTCTGGGCCTGTTGGGATGTTCGGGTCAAGTCTGGGCTTGAACCGTGTCTTGATCTGCTGGGATTAGGTATTCGGGTTTTGTTGTAATTGGACCTTGGTTGTAATTGGGCCTTCAGGTTTAATGTGCATTTGGACCTGTAAAATTGTAAAAAAATAATTATAATGATATAACATAAAAATAACGTAATTATAATATAATTATATAATTATATTGAAATCGAATTCGGACAAAAATGACTGTCGACACTAATTAATTCATCATACCGCTTGTCGGTACATCCTCTACATGACCCTTTTTCTGAGATACACACTACGTGCTCGGCTGAAGATATTTGAATGTATTATGCCTACTATGGTTACTTTGATTGTAACCTACTCTTATGAGTGTTTTCGAGCCCTTTTGGCCATTTACGTCCCCCACAGACTAAATTCTACCATTACAGACAATCCTTAGCTCTTAAGAGCCTTAAATATATCAATTCTAACCATCCAAAGCGAGTAGTATCGATACTCTACTTGTAGTATCTGTACCAAAAATGACATCTTTCGCTGAAAATGGAGCTCAATATCGATATTGTACACCCTGAGTATTGATATTATAGGGGCAATATCGATACTCTCCCAGTAGCATTGATACTCACTGCCGAAAATTCTTATATTTTTCCCCAATTCATCATGTATGGATACTGTTCATATAGTATCAATAATCAAACATAGAAATGTCTTAGTTAAGCTCGAGAAATATCTTTACAAATTACAGGGTCTTTTCAAGGGAGGGAAACCATTGATCTTTACAAAATACTCCAAATGCTAAAAACTACGAAGCAGAAACTCTCATAGAAACACCAATCACAGGAAATTAGTCGATAAGTAACAGTCTAAAATCTCATCATATCTACTTGGAAAATAGTTTCATTTCCCTTTTTGTTTTCGTGTCATATTCATACTTAGAACTTGGAAAAGCCAAGGAGGCGGTTTTAATCTCTCTGGTCGTAACTCTTCTCCAAGCTCATTGTTGTTTTTACTTCCATTTTGATACCTTAGTGTGCTGCCAGTGACATGGAAAAGTCCCATCCGATCATCATTGCCACTGAAATCTTCTCTTGTGCTTGTATGCTTCATATGACTTGATTCATTAGAAGAAGAAGAGAAACTTGGACCAGAATCCGAAGTTAGCGGAGTCCTGTGTTTCTTTTCCGGCCTGTACTTTGTGGGACCTAAAGTCAGCTCGATCTCGATCTCTTCTATGCCGGATTCTGCAACATTGTATCGCTGATAATCAGCCTCACCCGCCGGATGTTCCAAGTGATCATGTCTCGTTCTTGAATCATGATGCATATTGATATTCCTGTGCTGATAAGTATTCTTCATGCTAAAGCTTCCATTAGGCCTGCCTATTTCAATGCTTCTCATCAGTGTCTCCTGGATTCGATATAGACAATGCAGCTCGTAGACCTGAAAAAGAGAACATCTCTTCAACCTTAAAACAATTGCAATTATTAAAACAACAATATATATGTACGTGTGTATTTATATGTACATACCTGCTGTTTGAATGTTTCTTCGTGTTTTAACATTGCCATCCTGATATACTCCTTATCGTATGGCCTAAGAAGATTCTCCATTGAGAGTTTAATATCGCTTGAACAATATCCCAAGAAAAGAATGTATAGGATAAACAGAAATGATGCCTTTCTTCCCAAGAAATTTGCAGAAAAAAAGATAGATCACATAACAACTCTGATAATCAGAATCACCTTTCACTATTCCCTCCTGCAAAATTGCACCAAAAGAGAAAATAAGAAAAGAAAGCTGGTGATATAGGGCATGAATTAATATGAAAGTATGATAAACATCAACCACTTTTTAGTATAATTTGTGTGCTTGTTCACATGTTTTTTGGGACACCATTCATTCTCTTCCATACAAAATATCTTTCATTATGCAGCTTTGTCTGTGAGTACATTATATGTCACTTTCTTTGTTAAATAGACTAAATTTTCAGTCGCATACGATTAACCTAATTTTTATAACCACGCATTTACCACAAAAAAAAATCACTACAAATAAATGAGCATCAGTGAAAGACATTCAAATTATGCAAATATAAAACAACAATAAAGAAGTGTTCTTTCTAAATGAAATTAAACACATTTTGTGTGTGTAGATATGCGTTGAGCGAAAAATAAAATGATAATGATGGATCTTAATTTATCACTCGTCTTAAAATTGGTTCTTCAAGGGAAAAAATCAATCAAGTTATGCAAATATGAAATCTGGTAGTAATTTTGTTTACTAATAGGTGGTAGTAATTTTGTTTACTAATAGGATCATCATTATTAAAAGAATAATCACCCTGTTAAGAAGAAAATCAAATCAAAACACACTTGAACATCCTATTTCTTTGCTATCGAAAGTCAAACTTGATATTTTATGGTTTTATTATTTGAGTAATCTGTTGTTTATCTCTTTTATTCTGGAGTTCTTGCAACGAATTCATGCATTATAAAAAGGAAAGAAAAAAAAGGGGTTGCATATTCTGACCTGTTACAGATTCTTCAAAGAGATACCAAACTATGAAGAATCACAGCAGCTTTTCAGTAGCTAAACCAGTTGAAGAAGAAGAGCAAAAGAAAGAAAAAGAAAAGAAAAGGAAACTTGGGGTTTACAAGGGAAAAAGGGGGTACAAGAAAAAACTCTCCTGAAACATTAAGTTCAGCCAAATCTAGATTTTGACAGAGGTAGATGATCTCGCTCTCTCAATATTCCCCATCAGTGTATACTGCAAACAAGTTCCAAATAAACTATATTTTTTTAACTTAAAAATGTACAAGAGAAAAATAAGGAGAAGAATTTAAGATTCTGTGGTGCATTCTTGGTTGTTAGATAGGAGCGAGCGAATGGAGTTATTAGAGAATGCAATTGGAGTTGGGTGAAAGATGCCTAAGACAGGGCCAGCAATACAGTTTCATATAAAATAATAGCACTCAAAACATGTATTAGGATCTACATTTCAATATTTGGGTTTTTGGAGACAAATCATAAATTAGCTCAGCTTCGTTCGCTATGGTGATTCACATGCACCCTACAATTCTATATCCCTTGTAACAGTTGTCTCCTCCATTATATTATATAAATTATTCTTTTCTTTTTCTTTAAAAGTTAGTGGGAAATGATATTATGGAATTGTTCATGGCATCTCTCCGCCCCTCCGACAATTACATCTCTGTCTTACTATGACTAAGAATTCCTATAACTAAGAATGGATACAAAATTTTATATTAAGAGATATACGTTTAAAAAGAAGATCGTAGCAGTTTTTATTATTATAAAAAATTACATTAAAAATTTAGAGATATAAGATTATAAAATTTTAGAAAGTGTAGAATTAAATCATCAGTAAAAAAATAAAAAAATGCTTGAATAATATAAAAATTTAAAAATTTCAAGAGTACGATCATACCCCCAATAATCTCTCGATCTATCTTCGAATAGGTTTATAAATGAGATGAGACAGATTATGAGTTATTCAAGTTTGACTCAATCAATATTCCAATCAAATGGACTTCACTAGAGCTCTTAACAAGTCGAAAAAAGATAATTGATATCCAAATCGAAAAGCTCATGAGCAACTCAAAAAATAATATATAAAATTTTAATTTTTAAAATTAAATTATTAATAATATTAAATTTTATATGTTTGTTTTAAAAAAATACAATAGAAGACTTTCATTTACTTAAGGTTCAGGTTTGAACTCGAGTTCCAGTTTAAATCAAGTTCGAGTTTGAGCTTCAATCGAGTTATAACTTCAATTTTTTATTTTAAATCGAACTAATTTTTAAGAGCTTTCATCGAGCTTAATTTTAAAATTTTGAGGAAAAAAAATCAAACTCAACCTCACTCAAATTGAACTCGAGTCATTTACAACCTTATATCCAATCCAAATACGTGGGCACTCTTACAACACCCATCATAGAAGTTAGACCACACCAATCCGATTAATTCCAACCAAAATAAAAGAATAACATTAACAACCCAATTATCTCTCGAAGATATTAATCACCAATCAACTGTATTTTTATTATAATTCATTAACTAAATTAATTTAAATTATCACAATCGTTTGTTTTAATTAAAACATATAATTAAATTTTATCGATTTAAGTAAACTTTTAACCAAAATTTTACTCCAAACTCCCAAGAGTTAGAAGACTGACCACAGCCACAGGATCTAAAAGATCTTGATTCTTGAACCATATTTATCACAACTCCCCAAATAAATAAATAAATAATTGAAGGCAAATCTTGAATATATATAATTCTTTTTTTAATAATAGAAGAAAAATAAAATAAAATTGGTGAGAAATTGAAGGATGACGATGGATCATTTGGATCTGAGTTGTTGGATTCGATTCTCAACCACAATGATTGTAGCCGTTAACTGGCCATGTGAGGTGGCTTGTTGGGACATCAGACGGTCCACAAAAACTGGTTGAAATATGGTACACATTAAATGTACTTGTATTTATCATTTATTTTTTATTTCATTTGCAGCAGGTTCATGGGTGTATAGATTTATATTATGGATCTCTCCTCTCTCTTTTTATTTGAAAATTGCTAAATAAATAAATATAGTACAGATTGGAAGATGATCCATTGGAGGGATCGTGTATAAATAAATAGATTAAATGGATTTTTTTCAGGAAAAATATCAGAACGATTTTAAAACAATGATTATTAGTATTGTTGAATTATATTTTTTATTAATATAAAAAATGGAATGATATCAAAAGTAAAATCCATGTCCTCTTTCGTTTCAGCAAAAGGAAAAATATATCTTCACATGCTTATAGAAACTCTTTCTTTCTTCTTCTTCTTAAATCTTAAGACTTTTTTTGAAAGGAAATTGGTAAATATATATACAACAAATTTTATTTAATTTCAATTTTTCAAAAAATAAAATATATTGTAATCCCCTAGACTCGACCTAGATGGTACGATCAAATCTAGGTGGTCACATATCGTTTCAAATATTCATTTTCATATTCAAAACACACTTGAAATATATTTCAATGAATAAAACATATATAACGGTAAAATAAAGAGATATATAACAGTAGAGTTTATACGGTAAACATATATATATATATATATATATATCAACATTAGAAATCCGTATGAAAACATGATCATGACAAAATATCAGTAATACAGATACATAAAGTCAGTAGTAAAAATATGTTTCACCAAAATATAAAAACATGACATATAGAAATATACAGTGATGCAAAATGGAGAACAATCGATCCTTCTTATGTCAAGTCTTCTTGCATGTTGTCAGATAATATTTGAAAAGTTAAAAATTAAAGAATGAACTAAAAAGTTCAGTGTGCTCCTGTTGTGTATAAAAGTATTTAAATAAATACTTCGGTAAAAAATATTTTAGAAAACACTTTTTTAAAACATGAACACTACCCACATCTTAACGCCAGAATGTGTAGGTTCCCATGAACCATACACCCACCTATACACTCGGTAAGGACCTTATATCAATAGCATAAGGATTTGCGGTAAGGTTTTACCATGTTCACAAAGTAGAGGAGCCTGCGGTAAGGTCTTACAAGTCATAGTCTAAGCCTAAAATGCTTCCTCCAATCACACCCCCAATGATAGTAGATATGTATGTATTTAAGTGAAAAAAATAGTTTAATTCACTAAAACGTTAAAACATGTAATATTCCAGAATCAAATACAGAAATTCGATAATCAGAGATCATGTAGAAGTATACGGTAAATTAGATATCATGCAGTCAAAATATTTAATAAAATCATAAATTTAAAATAGTTTAGACAAATAGTTCAAATCAACACTAAAACACCAATAGGAACACACCTATACTGATCTGAGAAGTCTGGGACGGTACCTACTCTCGGGTCTGTCTATCATGGTAGACGGTAACGCTAGATCTTACGATTCAGAAATACTATATCAAAATACGAACGTAATAATTAATAAACTATAAATCAACTATTTACGAAAACTCTCGAAGAACAAAGATCGTACTAATATACTAGTCGGGAAACATCGGATTTAGTCGACCCTCGATCAGGAAAATCACAAGTACCTTCATGAAAATATAATCCCAAACTAATTCCATAATCAAATCTCAAATAACTATTCAGAAATGCTAAAAGTACTAAGCATTTTCAGTTTAACGGGATCGATTCGAGGCTTTCATATCAAAGTTTGGTGAAACAAACTGCAAAATCGGACTAAGGGCGTCGAAAAATGTAAAAAGGGAGGTTTTCAAAAAAAAGTCAACGACGGTCAACAGTTGAAGTCAATACCAGTCAACGATAGCAGTCAACAGCTTAATGCAACATAACTCGACGTGGCTCAGCTTGGTGTGATTCATTTGGGCCGATTCAATTAGACTGATTCAGTTAGGTCTGTTCGATTAGATTAGTTTAGTTGGCCAGTCTGGATTGGGTCGAAAGGAATTGGGCCAAACAGATCGGATTGGGCAGTCAGGTTGAACACATGTCAGTGGGTTGGGTTGACCCATTTCTAGAAACCCACTAAGCGATGAAGAATCACCACACACAATGACAATGTGTGGGGCCAGTACGGGGTCGATTTAAGTCAAAAAAAAAATTACGAAAAATCCTAACAATTATTTTTAAGCGTTTTAAGGCACTTACCTCAATTCACCATGGCAAGCAGAAGAGAGCTCGATTACGCTACGTTATAAACTTGTACTCTCTCACCCCCTCCACACATCAGTGGAAACGGTGAAAAAACCAACACCGGTAGACTCATGACGATGTAAAGATCACAATGGTGTGGTGGTGTAGCGAACGGAATTGCGATCGACAAAAAATCAACGATTGAAATTTCTTGGTGAAAATTACTAAAAAAAAGAAAGGAATGAGAGAAGGATTTGGACTTTCTAGAAGTAGAAAGTCTTAGATTTTGGGGGTTTAAACTCTATCTAAAATGAAAAAAGGTTGAATTATGCATGGGGTCCCTAAGTTTTTATTTATTTTTAACTTTAGATCCAAATTTATTTAAAAATTTATTTTGATCCCCGATTTTAACCAAAATTTTAATTTAATCCCTGAGGTCAAATTAGGAAAAAAAAATTAGCCCGAAATTGGAGTTTGACAACTCTCCCCCTTAAAGAAATTTCTTCATCAAAATTACATAATCTGAACAGATGTGAAAACTGATCCTTCATCGACTCCAACATCTCCTAGTTAGCTTTTGCTTCACTACAGTTGCTCCACTGAACCTTAACCATCAGAATTCGTTTATTCCAAAGAACATTCTCTTCCTATCCAAAATCTTAATAAATCTCTCCTCATAAGAAAAATCATGTCTCAAATCTACATCCTCAACCTAAATGATGTGACTCGGATCTAGACGGTATCGCCTCAGTATAGAAACATAAAAAACATAATGAATGTGGCTAAGTTGAGGAGGCAACTCAAGCTTATAAGAAACATGTCTGGCTCTTTTCAGAATACTATACATCCAAATTAATCTTGGACTCAATTGACCATTGCGTCCAAATCTGAACACCTTCTTCCACATAAATACTTTAAAAAAGCATGATCCCCAACCTTGAACTCGATATCTTTTCTCCTCTAGTCATTATAAGATTTATATCTATCAAAGGCCTCTCTTATCCGATCATAGATTAATCTGACATTATCCTCTATCTCTTGGACTAACTCTAGACCCAACGTTCTCCTATCATGCAACTTAATCCAAAAGATAGGAGTACGATATTTACGTCCATATAGAGCCTCATACAGATGCTAGTCTGGTAAATGTTGTTGTAAGCGAACTCAACCAACGATAAGAAGTCCTCCCAACTACCACAGAAATCAATCACACAAACTCGTAGCATATCCTCCAGAACTTATATCACTCTTCCGGAATGACCATCAGTCTGCATATGAAAAATTGTACTGAAGTTTATACCAGTACGCAGAGCCTCATGTAGAGCCTTCTAAATCTAGAATTGAATCTCAGGTCTCGATAAGAAATAATAGACAATGGAACACCATGAAGTCTAACAA